AGTGACAAGACCGATAATCATTTAGAAGAACTCCACAACAAGGCCAAAAAGACGGCAAAATCCTACTCTATACAGCCTCAGCCTCAATTTTCTAAGTTTCAGTGGCGAAAATCCTACTCCCAATATCAACAATCTTCACAGCAATACAGACCATACAAAAACTTACCTCAACAAAGATCTTCTCAGGCTTCTTCCTCCGCTCCCAGCTATCGCCCTCAGCAATCACATAGCAGACAGTATTATAAGCCACCTGCCAAAAAATCCGAACAGTATCTTTTGATTCTGCCATAGACATACACGGAAATCGCATTACCACACGACTTCAGCCATTTCTGGCAAACTAGTCTACCATCACAAACGACTCTTGGGTTTTAAAAACTGAGGCTTGGGCTGGCGGAGTATGCGCAGTACAGGCAGCCTTAAACTTTGTTACTTTTCTCTTAAAGCTCGAGAATGTTCCAAGAGGACCAACGCTGGTGCTGGGTTCACCCTTTTGTGTGAATTCACAGATGACCACTTGAAGAACCATGGTTACAGATAAGTAACCTCTCTTTTTCAGATTCTTTAACTGAATTCATGACTGGCTGAAATAAATTGACACAATAGCCAGCACTTGCAACTGCCCTAAAAGCTTAATGGACCAGGTTTTTAATTAATTAATTAATTAATTATAATTTACTTACTTACTTACTTACTTACTTACTTACTTACTTACTTACTTACTTACTTACTTACACAGCCTTTCACCTTAAGAACGACCCAAGGCAGCTTACATCATCAAAAGGCAGTATTTAAAGCTAAAACCACACTAAAAGACAGTAACAAAAGCAACACCAAAAATTCATTCAAAACAGTATACTAGAAACCCTGGAAGCACAGTTAAATTTATATATTAACTACACAGTAGTACCTCGGTTTGCGAAATGGATCCATTCTACGCGACGTTACATAGTATGGAAATCTCGCGAACCGAAACGCTAATTGCGCTATGAAAGGGGTGGCACTATAGACACAATGCTCCCTGGGAAAACTCTTTCGTAGTGCGAAAAGAAACAAAGAAAAGAAAACAACATAAACGGGGGCTTTATTTTTTATGGATATCAGTTCGTAAACTGAAAATTGCATAAACTGAGGCGTTCGCAAACCAAGGTACTACTATATTTTAATTTCATTTATATATCTGTATAATTTATATAATAAATATATATTACATTTTAACAATAACACTATATAAATGTAACTACTGAAAACATAAATAAAATTTAATATTTATGTTCCTACAAGAGGAGGATACAGTGGGGTCTTGACTTGAGAACTTAATCCGTATTGGAAGGCGGTTCTCAAGTCAAAAAGTCTGTAAGTCAAGCCGTCTGTAAGTCAAGGGTCCACTGTATTTTGCAGAAAAACACACACTCATTATAGCCCAGTTTTCCTTCGCTTCCGTTTTGTGCCCCTGACTTAATTATTCCTAGCTTCTCCCCGTCTGAGCTCTCTCTCTCTCTCCTCAATTTCATCTAGTCTTTGAAGTCCAAGCCATTTCTTTTTCACCATCAAGGACAGCACTGATCTGTTAGCTATCTCCATCCCTAGACTGCTAGAGGATGGAGGTTGCTGACCATAGTAATGAATTTTTTGCATATTCTAAGTGGGTGGTTTCTGCTACAAGCAGCATACAGTAAGAGTATTTAATTGTATTATGTACACATACATTGGCAGTTCATTATTTTCATTTGGAAGTAATAGTAACATTACTGGAGAATCAAGTATAAATCCATGTGTAATAAGTTAAAAAAGTTCTAGTTCACTTACACTGAGTCATATTTACTGAAACGCTAAGCTCAATTTTATAACTTACTCCTTAAAATACTTTTTAAGTCTGAAAGCTGCAGGTTAAATTTGGGATGACACAGAAGCCAAGACCATTGGCCACTAGGTGACAGTCTTACTTTTTTACAAGTTGATGAGAAATGCCAATATAGTTGGCTGTGAAAGATATTTTCTAGTTGTCAGCCTGAAAGAAATAAAATTTAATTGTTCCAAATTTATGCCCACTAGCCTGAGAGTAAGTTCCATTGAAACTCGATATACTTCTAAAAAGGCATGAAAAGAATTGCACTAATAGCATCTTTGATTTAACATTTCTCTACTTAATATTCAAACTCACTCACCCTCTTTCTCTATTGTGGGAGAATAATGTTTATTCCATAATGTCTGTTCCCACTGCCTGCTTCCCTGAGAGATACTCAGAACCCAGATTATTGCACAAGTAGAATCTAGGGAATTTTAACACATACCTACTCTTTAGATACATTTCTAAAGCTTCATTCTGTTAAAATGTTATTGTTAAATATTGTTAAAATATTATTGTGCTCTGTTTTCTCATTTAACATTCTACCAGATATTTGTCTAAAATAATCTCACACATAAAGTCTGGAAGTCACAATAAGACAGTGCTTGCATTTTTTCAGCTGTTGGAGCAAGCATATATACATTTACTAAGCTTATACAAGGGATAACAGGCCTTTATTCAAGTGGGAGTACAGTATAACCTTTAAGAGATTTATGACAGATTTCTAAACCTTAAATGAGATGACTAATAGCAGAAAAGAATCTGAGGCAAGAATGGGCAACTGCTAGGCTGTCATTTCCATAAATTATACTTTACTCATAAACTTTTAAACCTATTAAATACAGCACTGGAAGAGGTCCTTGGGGCAATGCAAAGCTTAAATATCAAGCTGCTCAAAATAAAGTGTACTATTATACAGGAATCACTTCAAAGAAACAAATAAAATAGGCAGTTAAGATATTTAAAGGGGGAATACAAAGCAAATGACAAAAAAATACAAGAGGGTAGAATTATACAAGGAAACTCTGCAGACTAATTTCATTTGGAAAATCTGTACAGAATTATGCTAGCTATTTAAATTAAACTACATTTTTATAACTTTCCTTTTATTAACTTCTATTCATAAAATAATTTACTGCTACTGTTACACTGCTGCAATTTCAGGTAATAAGAACATTAAGATAGGAAAGATTAAAGTAACCCATTGCAATAGCCAGAATCCTACTGGTGTTAATATAGGGTATATGCAAATATATCACAGGTAATTGCAGATGCTGGGACATATCTTTTGTGTGCCTCATCATGCACCTGATAATACAACCAAAATACACCTCAGCACCTTGTCAGTTAGTTGCAATTACCCCATTTCCCTGAAAATAAGCCCTAGCGTGATTTTTCAGGATTCTTGTAATATAAGCCCTACCCACAAAATAAGCCCCAGTTAACTGAAACCCCGTCCTCCACCCTTGTGCAGCAACCAGAAGAAGAGGACATGACTGTATTTGAATAAATGTAGATTCTTGTACATGAAAAAAAAATCCCCTGAAACCCAATGCGGCTTTTTGGAGCAAAAATTAATATAGGATCCTGTCTGATTTTCAGGGAAACACGGTAGCCACACCACATTTAATCAAACCTTATGGGAACACCAGTAGGGTTCTGGCCAATATTTTAGAAACCATTGCATTGTTTTAAATGTCTTTTTAAAAAATCCCTTTGCTGCTAATATAAGATCAATTCAGAGTTAAGCATTATTGAAAATGTAAAAGAGCGGTTCATGTAAAGAAGTTGGGGCTTAAATAGAAAGTGATTTATTTTCTATGAAAGCTAGGAAGGGATTACATGGTGGGAGTCTGTATGTAGCAATGGGTGCCAGAAGTCAGATTCCCACTTTTGCAATTGTTTGTTTGTTTATATGATTACCAAATGCAGGTTTATAATTACGATGTCATTGGCTATTTTCAGAATTTTCTTCAATATGCCTTTTAAAAGAAAAAAAAGTCTTGTCACAATTTAATTAGATGTGTTTTCTGGGTATAAAGTATTCAGAAGTGGTTTACTAGTGCCTCCTTCTGGTGGCACTTTGGAACCATGCAGCTTTCCTAAGGCCACATAACTCCATCAGTCACATAACTCCAGGAAATCTTGACTGGTCTCCTAGGAAAAGCATTTGAGATTGGAACTCTGCAACCAGGAATTCCAATACACTAACCTGTACCAGCTGCCCACTTACTAATGGTGCAGTCCTAATTAGCCAGACTGGCTGAAGGCTGGGTGCAGCTGTGCTTAACCCAGACCTCTCCCAGCTAAAGGATGGTTAAAATTAGTTACCGATTGCCATGACCCTGGCAGAGCTTTATACTAACGTAATACCTGTGAGTCTAGGCTGAAAGGAGATTGTATCTGGTGTAACTCACCATTTCTCCAACACCTTTTGGGGCAGGTCTTCTGATGGCCAATCTGTAACAGCACAGCACAGTACAGTGGTGCCCCACTAGGCGCTTACCCCACATGATGTTGAAATTGCTTGACAGTGACATTTTTGCGATCGCTATTGCAATCACAAAACGATGGTTCCAATGGGGTAAATCCGCTTTACATTGATTAGGATCCGCAAAATAGCTTCCCTCCCTTCTCAAAATGGCTGCTTTCCAGCTCCACAAAATGGCTTCCCTCCCTTCTCAAAATGGCTGCTTTCCGGGCTGAAGCTTCGCATTACAGCGATTTTTAACAGCTGATCGGCGGTTCTCTATGGGCAATCTTCGCTGGACGATGAGGTATTTCCCCCATTGGAACACATTGACCGGTTTTCAATGCATTTCAATGGTTTTTTTAACTTTCGCTTGACGACGATTTCTCTCTACAGCGATTTTGCTGGAATGCATTTATCATCGTCAAGCAGGGCACCACTATAGATCCACTTTTGTTGGCAGATCTGAGATCTGCCAGCACAAGGGACTTGTACTAGCCGAAAGGTAGTTGTGATAGCACAGGATGCTTCCATGTTTTCCAAACCAACTACAGCTGCTGTATCTTTGACTTTAGATTGCATCGTAACACAGTAAAATATGTGTAAATGCCTCACACGATCATGAATAACCTGACAGCAATATTTCTTAAAGATTTGTGTTTTTTCCCCCCTTGGTTTTAGGAAGGATTTCTGTGTACATAAAGATGAACCATGTGATACTGTTGGTAAGTCAACTGACAAATAACAGTTATGAAAATTTTAAACATAAAGCCATTAAAATAAAGAAAGCCATCTTGGACATTTTCAGTTGATAAAAGTTTGAGAGTTGTATCTGTGGATGAATATTTTAACCACTTTAAATGCAAACCTGTGGCGAGTTGTCTTAGTTTGCAAAAATATAGGTTACTTAGTTGGTAATCTAGTAAGTTGATAATGGCTAAACGTTTTTGAAATTAGTGGGACTTGCATTTTTGGGGTTCATTCTGTTCATTTAAGTCAGTGGTTCCCAGCCTTGTATAACCCAAATATTCTTGGACTGCAACTCCAAGAAACTCCAGCCAGGTGGTGAAGGCTTCTGGGAATTTTATAATCCAAGAACACCAGGCTTATCCAAAATTGGGAACCACTCATTTAAGTGATTAGCTAGGGCCAAACTATCTTAAGAAATACTTAATTTCCTGTTGCATTAGATCTTTTCATGCATTGGATGTATTTCCATAGAAATATAGGACTTATCCCTAATTAGTACTGTAATGTTTTAAAATGTATGAAACCCACATCTATTCAGGGAAGTGTACTGACTGCCTTCCCTGTGTCAACCTTTCTAAGCACAGAAATGTGACTGCCTGAAAAGGGGAGGCAGCTATCCCTGGGCGGTCTTCTTACATGTGCTAGAATCCTGATGTGGATAATTGGCCCAGGTGGAGATGCTACCTGGGTACAGCAACTTTCCTTTTTTCATACAGCCACATTCCTAGGATTAAAGGGGCTGCTTTAAAACACAACTGAACAGAGTTAAAATTGCTGGTTTATCCTGTTTTGTTTTGTTTTGTTTTGCCATGGTCTCAATAGCTTATTTTCTCCTGCCTTACACCAACCAATAAGACAAATAAATAAATAAAAAATGAAAAATTTTGAGTGACTTTTGAGACTAAGCTCCTGGTTAATTGCTCAAAGATGAACCAGGAATCAACAAATCCTGTTTTATTTTTTGAATGCTGGCCAGTTTGTTAGTAAGTGACAAACCAGAAATCCAAGTTGGATATTGTAAAAAGTGTTCCATTTCTGGTTTACCAAGAAAAAGGGAAGGAGGGCGGACCTGGGAAACTACAGGCCGGTTAGCCTAATGTCTGTTCCAGGGAAGATGGTGGAAAGCCTCATCCAAGATAAAATCTTAAAACACATAGAAGCACAAGGCTCGCGGAGAAAAAATTAGCATGGCTTCTGCAAGGGTAAGTCTTGCCTCATAAACCTTTTGGAATTCTTTGAAAAGGTTAACAGGCATGTGGATGCAGGTGAACCAGTGGAAATTGTCTGTCTGGTTTTTCAGAAGGCGTTTGAAACAGTCCCTCACCAAAGGCTGCTGAGAAAACTCCACAGTCAGGGGATAAGACGGCAGGTCCTCTTATGGATTGAGAATTGGTTGAGAAGCAAGAAACAGAGAGTAGGTGTCAATGGGCAATTTTCACAATGGAAAGAGGTGAAAAACAGTGTGCTCCAGGGATCTGTCCTGGGGCAGGTGCTTTTCAACCCGTTGAAAAGGAGACAGGGATAAGCAGTGAGGTGGCCAAGTCTGCAGATGACACAAAACTTTTCAGGGTGGTGAAGATGAGAAGGGAGTGTAAAGAGCTCCAGAAAAATCTCTTCAAAATGGGAGAATAGGTTGCAAAATGGCAAATGTGTTTCAATATAAGAAAATGTAAAGTGATGCACAAATGGGTTCTGAGCTGTCCATGCAGGATCAGGAAAGAGATCTTGGTGTGCTGGCGGATAGCTCGATGAAAGTGTCAACTTAGTGTGCGACGGCAGTGAAGAAGGCCAATTCCATGCTAGGTATCATTAAAAAGGGGACTGAAAATAAAACAGCCAACATTATAAGCCATTGTACAAAACACTGGTAAGGCCGTAGCTGGAGTATTGCGTACAATTCTGGTTGTCGCACCTCAAAAAAAAAGTTGTGGAATTAGAAAAGAGAGCAAGTAAAATGACTGGGCTGGGGTACCTCCCTTATGAGGAAAGGCTATATAGCATTTGGGGCTCTTTAGTCTAGAGAAAAAGTGCCTGGGGGGACATGCTGAGGCGTATAAAATTATGCAGGGGGTTAGATAACGTGGATAGAAGGAAGCTCTTTTCCCTGTCACGCAATACCAGAACCAGGGGACATCCACTCAAATTGAGTGTTGGGAAAGTGAGAACAGACAAAAGAAAATGTTTCTTTACCCAGTGTGTTGTTAGTCTGTGGAATTCCTTGCCATGGGATGTGGTGATGGTCTCTGGCCTAGATGCCTTTAAAAGCTCAGGCTGTTTTTATTCTAATTCAAAACCTGTGCTTTTTCTAGAAGTGAAAAGTTGCATTCAAAAATTGAAGAAATTACTAGGATTAGATAGAAGGCAAATAAATATGGAGAAACAAAGCATCTTGCAATTTATAGGGAGATTTGCATACAATTATAGGGAGAAAGAAATAGGACATCCCAGCAGTTTGCTATAAAATATGGTGTCAGCTAAAAAAGGGGTTTAAGAAAAATGCTTATATATTATATTATATATAATATATTATATATATTATAATACCAAGAACAAGTGGGAAATTATGGTATCATAAGTTACTCTAATATCTTACTCAGAAGTAGAGATGGGATATTCATATTTGTATCCCAGGCACCAAAGGTGACTGAGGAAACCAGATCCTCCCCCCAGAATTGACTGATCCACTTACTGCTTGCCATGTGACGCACACAGCCATCATAGTTTATGTCAGACCAATTGTGGAAATAGCCCAGCTGGCCCTTCCCTGCCTCCCTGCACAGCCGACTGTTCAGCAGCTGAGCTAAGAGACTTGTCATGCTGCCTCCTTGCTGGAGTGGTCAGCTCTGCAGGGAGAAGCACCAGTTGGGTTACTTCTGCAGCTGGTGTGATGCAGATGGTGATGGCACACTGAGCAGTAAATGGACCAGCCGGTTCTAGGGGGAGGACTGAGTTTCCTCGGCACCTGTGGTGCCAATATTCATATTTATATTCCCAGGGATACGAATACAAACATCCCATCTCTACTCAGACGTTTGTCTGGCCCTTCTTTTATTTGATATCATATGAGTGCTTCTGAAAATAATTCCTCCAAAATGTATGGTAGAAAATGTTTATGCTTATCTCCTTTTCATGAAGATCCCATTGGTGTCAGTTGCAGAGTGATAAGCAGATCTTAAAATTGCCCCCATTTCATTTGATCATGACTATATCATGCCAACTTGTTGTACTGGGAGACTATTGTCTGTTTGATATCAAATTTGCACTCTACAGTTTCCTAATCAAACAAATCTCTGCTTGTGTCAGTAACTGAGATGCAGCTCAAGCTGCCACATCCTGTGCACACATTTTCTGTGTCCTTTACAAAGAAACTTATTATTGAACTTTAATATTTCAGAAGTGTTACTGGAATTCAATTTTATTCATTCATTTCATTGATTGCTTCATTCCTTTAATTTATATTATGCTTTTGTCTCACTAAAGGGACCCAAGATAACTTATCAAATGTTTAAAAGACAAATGTTAAGATAGATCAGTAGAACACTGCTGCTGATTTCAGGCAAAGATATTTCAGGGGGAAAGTGTGTCAAATTGCTGTTTTGTAGAAAATCTGTTGGATTGACTGGTGAAAGTTTAACTGTTACAGGAGATCAATTGTTCACTCCCCCACCCTCATGGATTTAACCTTGGAACTATTCCAGCTGTGTTAATAAACTACAGGGAGATGCAGATAACATATATGTATATTTAAAGAAAATCTTTCTTTTACCTAATGCTGTGATGGCTAAGCAGGAGCAGCTGCTCACTTAAGTCAGTTTTTGTTTCTTAACACATGAAATTAATAACAAAGGACAAGACTTGAAACTACTTCTCAACTGGCAGCTGGCTGATCTACATTCAGTAACTGCTGTTTGATGTGGGTTGCAAGTACAAGGTCAATTTTGTTTAATAAGAAATAAAGTAATAAAATTCTGATTTCTTTGATACCTTGTTTGCATCTAGATTCTATAATTGTAATTTCTACCAAAATAGTAAGTGCGAAAAACTTTAAATGTTTGAAGCATCCCACAGATTTCTTACCTGTTAGGTGATCTGTAATAAGCAGCAATCCATGTAGTGGGAGAATAAATATGTGTGTATTGCCTGTATGTTTTTTAATGAAGAACACCAGATACAAAGCATTGAGAGTGAAAAACAGTCAAATGTGACACAGAAGGAAAAGGGAAGGGAATTGACTTGAAATGAGTGAATATAATAGTGAATGCGGTAGAATTAAAGGTAAAGAGAAGATGGGTGGTTGCCTGTTTGAAATTTTTCTATTTGCAAATTGTGAGTGCTCCTGGATTTGATTTGGCTAGACTGCAAACTAGAACTGTTAAACTTGTCATGGTACAGACTGAGGTAGAGGAGGTTTTCTGTAATGCTTTAGATGTGAGTGTTGTTTATGTTGTTGTCCATTGTTTTTATATAACTGATTCTGCATATCCTTTGTTAATTTGTAAACTGAAATATCTCCTTCTGAATGAGAAATGGGGTTATTAGAACCTGATAAGGATGCCTGACTCCTTACAGACTTCCTAGGCAAAGAACAGAAGCCTGTGATTTGTCATAGTTGACATTGTCCCAGTAAAGGATTAATCCCATAATGAAACCAGACAATCAGTGACAAGCATTTCCAAATGCATCTAGGTGTCTCATTATTAGTGTCTTCATTGTTGCAATAATTCTCGTCGTCGTTGTTTAGTCGTGTCCGACTCTTCGTGACCCCCATGGACCAGAGCACGCCAGGCCCTCCTATCCTCCACTGCCTCCCCGAGTTGTGTCAAATTCATATTGGGCACTTCGATGACACTGTCCAACCATCTCATCCTCTGTCGTCCCCTTCTCCTCTTGCCTTCAGGCAGTGCCAAAACTTGTCTGTTATTACAAGTTTAATTTACATTATTTCTAGGTTCCATATTTAAAAATAGCAAATCTT